TAGTAATTGTCTTTACACACAGATGGCTCCATGAGCACTTAATCACTACAGAGTCAATTACAAGTCCTACCTCTCGTCTGTTTATTCTTTTTTTCTTGACTTTTGGAAATATTTTTTTCTTCTTATATTGCTGTTAGTATTTTCACTAACACTATAATGATCATAATGCCAATAACAGTAATAATAACAGCATCTATATCAATTGCATTAGAATTTTTTTTTCCTGAACACTCAAGGAAAAGAGAAATGAGGTCGCACAGGCTTACTAGTTGCCTACTTGACAGCTAAGCACCTGAAGCCATCCATGTGCAAACAAAAATTCACAAAAGAAAATTACAGTAGATAGTGTCATTGCCGGTAGCAATGGGTTCATTCATAATTAAAAATCCACATGCCACACAATGTTATATTAGGCTCCATCCCCATTCCACAGTCTACTACACACTGATAACATCTTGAACTGGAGAGTAGGCTTTACTAATTTCAAAACTGCAAGCTAAATATCACAATTAAAATGACATAACTTTTTAATAGTGTCATATTCATCTTATATTCTTACTTTTGTCATAAAAAGCATAAGAATGCATTCAAATTGCACTCTTAATACAGAATATCTATCAGTAGGGAGTATCTCTTGATATCAACCAAAATTAAAACATAACATATTATATCTTTTGATTTTAATTAATTCACTGATTGAATTTGCCACAATCAAAAATGAACAGAAATTGCGCTCCAAGATCATGGAGAAAAACTAATTAACTAAATATACAGTGTGCATGAAGAAAAAAAAATTATATTTCATTTCTCATCTATGTAGGAAAAATACTGATTATTTTATAGTAAAAAAAATAATATTGTAAATTATATTTTCATTATCACCATACTTCTGAAGTAATGCCAAAATTCATCCCCCAAATTCTGAAGAAAACCCTTCTATATGCCCACTCGACTGTACCCTTTCCTGAAAATAGTCTCCTTAATCACACCTACAACTACCTATATCACAACCACCTTCCCTGATGCCCCTTGTTCCAATTACTAATCTTACCTCTATTAATTTAAATTAGAGAAAATACAACTTTGGTGTACAATTAACTGATACCAGCAAAAGGTACGAGATTCTCTGAATGATCATTGAAGTAAAGATGACATATTATTCTTGACAGATCCATGTCCTTGAATATTTAGAACCACAAGTCATTTAATTTTTCTTTGTTCCTTAGTATGATCAATACTTAACGTTGTTCTAAATGGAAGGTTTTTTCCCATGTTCTACTTTTAAAACTTGAGAAAACCTTAATATCAGTTGCAATAACAGTCCAACAACAAATATTCTGGAAGATATTTGGCCACAGCATATTTGAGCTTCTTTCTCTACAGAATGATATATGCATTCTGAATGTGCATGCATACATACAAAACACAATATATGCAGTCACACACATGCACACACAGACACATACAGATATCTGTGGCAAAAAAAAAAGAGATTTTTTTTTTAGCATATGTTCTGAAACTAAATAAAATTACCATGCTGAATATTGCACTGGATTTCTTTTCAACAATTTGCACCTAATAAAATGCAGTTCCTATTTTTATTCAAGTGAAGCTGCCTTCCATATTTCAAATTATGTAAATTAAGCCTAGGAAACACCTCAGTTATCTGCACATATACATTTGCTATACAGCTTGTGCCTACATATATATAGTGTACTTTCAGAGGCTCTAGACTAAGAAATTTATTCTGACAAAGTTGAAATGAGTCTCATCCTACTTTTGCATAGCATATGTAAACTACTTACCAAACCATATGCAAAGTGGATTGTCTATGTCAACTATTCTAACCTTTGCTTGTTTTGTCATTGCTTGAACTTAAATAATTAAGTAAGGTGATTCTACAGCTGTCATAACTGACTATAAGGCCTATCACATGTTCATTTCTTAACATTTTGATTGTGATACACAATACAGAAGTAAACTGTTGTACTTACTATGATTTTTTTTTCATTAGCAAAGTTCTAATTTTGCATTGTATAGATTAAAACATTTTAATAGGAATTCATCACTCAATAGGAACACTCCATTCATGAGAGACATGGCCGTACTGAATCTCTTTGATAGTATTAAAGAAACGCTGTGCCAGAGACTCTTCAGGCTTCAAAGTGGGCATCTTTATAACTTTTCCCTGATAGTGGATCTCCCCCACTGGTGTTACAACAGCTGCAGTTCCAGCACCAAATATTTCTAGTAGCTGTTAAGAAATGATATTTTGTTAAAATCCAACTTAGTAAATATACAAAGGTATGCAAAATCATGGTTAGGTATGGGTGTCATTTACTGAAAATCATGTTATCCTTTTGTTTGCTTGTGCATAGATTAAGCTGTTTATTTTATTTACAGAAAGAGCAAGAGTATCTAGTATGTATATCAAGATATATCACTTGAATAAAAAAAAGTCAATAACAAATATGTCTATCAAGTAAAATTACTAAATCTCAGTTTCTAATCTAATATCTTTATACAATATATACAGTATTTTTGACAAAGTATCCATTTTCACATACATACCTTTCCTTCACTTTCTGCCTGGACGACCTCAGCCATTGTAATGTCGCGCTCATTTACAGTGAATTCTCCCCATTGTCTTCCTAATGCTAAGAGTGTGTCTCTGGTAACTCCAGGAAGGATTAACCCATGTAAAGGTGGTGTCACTAGCTCCTTTTCTGTAAAAGAAACAGTTCAACAAAATTTATTGTACTTATCCGTGCTTTAATATGATGATCTATAACTTATACAGCATACAGAGTATAGTTGAGTCATATTCATATAAGTAATACTACTATTTCACCACCCAAACTAACCTCCATTTCCCTTATCAAGGAAGACCATTATGTTCATTGCTCCCACTTCTGTGATTTTATGGTCGGGCCCAAAGAGCCACAATACTTGCTGAAGACCTCGTTCCTCTGCAATTTTCTGCAATAGATGTAGGAACCTTGGGTAATCAATATATTCTAGAATATAAAAAATGGAAACACCTCCAATCTTCATAAAGAAAAACTAAAATCATCACTTTAATACAATCAAGGAAGAAATTGTCTTGAAATCTGCTAACCTGGATAGCTAAAGTGGGTCCATAATTAGATCCCATCTTCATCATTCCACAGCCACCAGGCCAAGCACGTACAAACTCAGGGTCAGCCAACAGAGACACTGGCTTGAATCCACTGGAGAAATATGGTCCAACAGGTGACAGGATAACAAAGAGCAGGGCATTGGTGGGGCGCTGCACACCTAGGGTTGGCTGATTGATGAGCAGAAATGTATCATTTTTATAAAGAAGTTTAATTTGAATTTTTGAAAGATACTAACCTACATTATGAGAACTAAATGATTCAATATCACTTTTCATTTATAAATAATATCAATGGTTTAAATGGCTCAAGTTATAGTTCCTTATCAGATATACCAATACACATTAGCTGCTGTGAAACATAAATAGCAATATAATGCTGTAAATATACATTTACAGAAGCTAATGAACAGTTAAGAAAACTTTGCAGCCATTATGTGTCATCTATAGATATTCAGCTTACCTCAGTACCTATCATAGTAGGTCTAATATATAAGCTTGAGGATTCTGCATGGGGCACCCATTCTTGATCAATGCTGATGAGTTTTTTTAGTACTTCAATCAATTCATTTCCATCAAAATTTGGGAGAGCAGATCTCGCAGCCGTGCGATTCATGCGTTCCATGTTTTTGTCAGGACGGAAGAGTCTGATTTCATCATCACAACCTCGAAATGCCTTCATCCCCTCAAACAACTGAAAGAAGAAAAGATATACATGCATTAGTTGTGATACATTAAAAAAATTGGTTATTAGCAAGAAATAATATTAGTTTTCTTTACATTAGCACAAATCTTTGGTGATCCAAGAGTATGACAAATTAGGAAAATATACTTTACAAAAGATGCTGAGCAGTTCAAATAACCCTTGTCAATTAAAAAAAAAACTCAAATGGACTCTATCAAAACAGGTACATCCACTAGAACAGATTATAGAAGTACCCAGTCATAGGCTTTAGTGGTTAAAAAAAAGAAGAAGATAATTTAGAATTCTGCTCAATGTAAATTTAGATCTTAAGGGATTTGTAATAAGAGCGTAAGTTAGTCGGAATGATTATCTTCCACAAGTTACTGTTACCTTCAGAGAGCATGTAAGGCCATGTGCTCGTGTGTTGGCAACTAATGAGAGATCTGTATGTCCACTCAAAGACCTGGAAATGGAACTATTATTACCTGCACAACCAGTATTACTTAAAGATATTCTGTATGTAATGGAAGTTCTTCACTGATCTGGTAAGTATTTTTTCTTTTTTTTTAACAATTACTCTCATCAAAAACACAACTGCACTTATTTAACTAATACCTAGAAAGTAGGAGCAATGTAAGAAGTACTCAGAACTAGTATTTCCTAGTACATCTACAGTGCCATCTTTCCTTTACTGAAAGAAAAATTGCTGCTACTGGGATGCAACACAAAACATAAAATTACTGCCTCTTGAAAAAAAAATCAATAAAGTATAAAAAAAGGGCTATATATCTATTCATGCTCTAACTTTAAAAAAAGTAAACAATTACTATAAAAAATTAGTTATGCCTAGAGAAAATAATCCTCTCTCTATTCCAAAATAAACAAAAATCAATCAGCTCATTCACCAATAAGATGGAAAGTTGATTAGGCATGTTGTTCAGCTGACAATAATTGGGGAAAAGATCACATCCCCGAAAATCAGTAGATGCACTCTCATTATGAAAAAAAAAACTTTCAGGCTTGCAGACAATGAAGAATGAATAGCACCATGCCCTCTGACAACTATGATTATGAAGGAAATGATCATGGTAGCAAAATTTAAGGGATGCTAGCATTAAAGGCCTACTGCTATATCTTGATATTGAAGTGTGGATTATTGTGCACTGTAGGGCCCTTAGT